GTTTAGCACACGTTTGGTCAAAGGACCGGGTTCACTTGTCTATTTGACGAGTCGTAATTTGGTGCTAGGAGTGGCAAACGTCTGGGCCCGTCTACGGCCCGAATTTGGAAATGATTATGCATACAATGGACTTAGGACAAGGTGTGTTTCTCTAAGTCCTACCAATATGACCAACTTGCTAAAACAAGGTTAAACAACTTCTATACAACGAAAGGAGACTGCGAACACACAAAAGGCCACAACATCTTGGTCTTCATACCTTCGATTATTATTATGCATGTTGATGTCATTTATTTTAGTGTCCTTTTTTTACATTTGAAGCCGAAGTACTGACTAAGTTTTATCGGATTGTCGATAAATATGAGTAGCAAAAACGCCTCAGATGGGGCTAATTTCTGCATATCACCAGCTACCTATCCGTTTAGGACCTCTCCTGTCGGCTGCTTCAACAGCCTTAAATCGCGCCCCACTCTTCACTGAAAAAATCGTCAAGTTTCCTCTTTTATTAAAATACCATATTTTTCCCCTTCGTGAGACATCCACTTTAGTTCTGGAATTTAGTTTTTCAATTATAACGGCTGTTTCATTGTCATTTACTTCTCTACTCTTTTTTCTTAGGACCACTCACAGGCTCGAAGTTGCTCCCTTATTGGACAACCATGAAGTGTTTCCTGCCAAAGATGGCGTCATCTTTTGTCTTCCCAGCCAGTGGGTCTGTGACGGCTTCGTCGACTGCAAAGTGGGCTCTCTTAAGTTTGCTTTTGATTTCACTCTTTTATATGCATTATATATCTTCTATTTTACTTCTTACAATCAAGTTCCCTTGCCTTGTTCAGTGTGGAAACCTTTGCCCTCATTTTATAACAGTGATTTCCAAACTGTGCGCCGCGACCTCTTTACAGGGGCGCCGCGAAATATTGTAAAAGCTTTATAATTAATTTAACCCAGACATCTGGCATAGCTAAACAAAAACGTGAGAGAAAACGTCTTCTCGATCGCGCCATATGATCGTACTAGACACGTCGAGGTGCGTAGAACATTCCCGACAGATTTGGAATATTCTGGAAGATTCTGTGTTGCCGGCTCGATTCAGTCAGTCGACATATAATTTGAGTCTAGTGAAGTTAAACTCAATGCTTCCTTTATAAATAAACAGTGACATAAATTAATAGATGAGTTCATATTGTAATTTAGTTATTGTTATATTACTTTTGTTTGTTGTCTTTGATAAATAATTTTGTGATTTTTGGCTCTTGTATCTTTGATAATGGACCAATTTTTGATCATTTATAAACGTAATAGTGCAGATAAAGAAAGTATGCCTTTAACCAGTGGAACTAGTATGAAGAAACTAAAATATAGTAAATATGATGACAGTTATTTAGAGTTTGGTTTCTAATTCCATTTTCTACGTCGTATTTGTGCTAAGCTGGGTTTTCGGCGGTCGCTATAATAAAAGCAAGTATAGAGCAAAAATCAATGTGGAAAAGCAAATGAGTATGAGAAAATGTGCAGTGATTTGCAGGCTAATTTATCACATTATTTATTAAATATTAATTTTATGTCAATGAAGTAAAAAAATAATGAAGATACACGAGTTTTATTTATTTTTATCTCTTACTTAAGAATAGTCACACTTAGGATAGGGTGCCATCGAAAAATTTAATTGAAAAAGCGCTTAGCGACTAGGAAAAGTTTGGGAACCATTGGTCTACAACACTCCTCCTAAAGAATTGAACTTCTATATTTGACTTGATTAGATTGGCAAAATAAGTTTTCGCTCAAGGGCTAATTGCAAATTTAAATAGGTATTTATCGTTACACCTAATTCCACTTGCCCCCCTTGATTGCTTAGCTTTTAGATATGATCTAATATTTTATTGCACCGCCCAATAAGATAAGTTCCAATCTTCATCAGAATGAGTTTGGTGAATGTCTGTCCTCGAATTGAATACGCGCAATCCCTAGGGTCACTTTTTAATTTAGGGATCGCAGTTCCAATCCTTTCGACCAACCGATGAGTCTTCTCTTTGTTTGGAGTGCTTTATTCACTGGGATTTCCAAAATCTTATTTAGTAAAATATTTAAATAAGGATTTTT